TCCCTACAAATACATTCAATATTGTCCTTATCAGCAGTAACATGGACACGGCTATGCGCTTGCTTAGCGCTGTTCGTGCATACCTACACGCTACAAACTAAACAAGCTTCTAACTTATTTCTGCTTGCAGCGCAGCGTTTCCACACTAGTCTCTACCGCTTGGTTTTTGCCACGCGCATTTACAGATGTCTCTTCAACAGAATTACACCATGCAGCTTAAATTCACAGACGCTCAAGCCAACCAGCCACTAAGTTACATACTATGTGCACTGGCCGTTCTTATTTATAAGTCACTTCTCCATTTCATTCATACATTGCCTTTTCTTCCCTTTCTCATGGCCCAGCCCTCCCACTGTACAAACACAGGATGAAGTTGTGAGGTCACTGAAGTCCATCAGCACATTACTACTTTTTCTGCTGTGGTCACTAATAGAAACAGTAAACAGATTGGTCCCAAATTTGATTTTTTCAGCAACTCCCTGCATAACTTCCCTCCTCTGTAGTCCTCCTCTGCTTTCCTTATACCTACCCATAGCCATCTCCTTTTCAGCTGCATTCCTAAATCACTATGTTTTCTGGATCCAGTAACAATTCCCTTTATGGCATTAGATCAAAGGCGTCACCAAAATTCAGAGACACGAGATCTTACACTTTTCTGTTATTTTGTAAGATTAGTTATCTTATCAGACAAGGCTATCATACCAGTCTGACACAGCCTGTTTTCCGTACATGTATATTGTGTTTTATCCCATTTTCCATTCTACCTACCTAATTGATTCTTTTTCCTTCCAAAAGATGTTTTAAAGGCTTGCACTCTACTGAGGCCAGAGCAGCAGGCCTGGATTACTTTTGCATCTTCCTAGGCATCAGCATATATTTGCTATGTTTCAACGTCTGGCACGATTCCTGACGTGACAGACAACAACAGTATTTCCTGGTGGAGTTAAAACTTCCCACTGAACTGGGATAGAGATTGTCTAGTCCCCTGGACTTTGAGACTGGCTTCTACGTTGTCTTCCTCATTATCTAGCTTCATTTTCCCTTTACATTCTTTGAAAACTGGCAAAATTTTGATTTTCTGTTTGTTCAGTCCTTAATATCTACCCTTCCCTTGGTACAGAAATGCCTTTCTTCTGGCCTGCTTTCCTATTCTTTTTTTACTTATATAGCTGAAGAACCTTTTGCTATTTGTTTTAAGAGTCTTTGCTTTAGCGCTAACTCTAATCCAGTTAGACTCTCTGTTTCCTTACAAGATAGATACAGTTCTTCTTCCTTATCAGTCTTTTATCCACTCATTTGAGGCTTTCCATTTATTTCTAACACCCTTCTCATAGAATCTATTCATACAGTTAGATTTGAAACCCTTTCTATTCTAATTTTTCCCTTTTGTTTGGAATATAGATTCTTGACTATTTTTAAACCTCAGATTTCAGGAAGTTTCAGTTTTTCTCTTTGCGCAAGCCACAGAGCCCTTTTCAGGGATGTCGCTGTACAACAACATTAGAGAAATTTCATACTGTAGGCTGAAGCAGACCCGTAACAGAGAGCGTAACATGTGGATCAGCTAAATACTACAACTGAAGACTGAGCTCTCAGCTCTGAAATTTACCTGCTTTTTAAAGAAAATTCCAATAGAATCGACGTGCATTACATTTCGTAGAACGTGTCACAACACACCTAGTAACTAACCAGGATATGAACTAAAAAAAAAAAAAAAAAGACACAGTGATGCTTGGGACCTACAGGACAGCTGTTGTTTTCATTTGTACATGTTGAACGTTTTTAAAGGAGAGAAATTATTTATAATACAACAAAATTAGTCAACATATAACAGCATGAAAAAAGCACAACTGCCCAATGTTTCAAAACTTCTCCACTCCAGCCACCTCTACCTTTCCCCTCTGTCTCTCTCATCTCCTGTCTGTTTTTCTGTTCTTCCTCTGTTTCATTAATCTTTCCCTCTCGGTCTCAGACGAAAGTCAAAAATGTTAGTTCAACCTCGGGGAAGGTGGGATTTTAGTGTTAATACTCCTCACTCAAATCTCTGGATTCAGTTTACAACGTTTGAAGAACATCACACCCCCCATATACAGGATCCAAGGGCCTCAAAAAGTTTCCTGACTGAATGGGAAAAAGTAGATGCTTTACTCAGGATCCTCTAAGATATTAAGAACGCAAACAGAATGTCTTTGCCCATCAGAGAATTTCCCAAGGTTTCCATTTAATTTATAAGTCTGATGATTCTCAAGAAACTAAAGTGGGCACCTCTGTTGTAAACAAAATACTTCAGATAAAAACGTACGAAGAAAGCAACAAGGAAGCTTCCTTAAAGGATAAAAACATAAAAATAAATAAAGGGAAAAAACCCAACTGCAGACTCGCATCTTTCAGTTTTCAATCTAGATAGATGGAGGACACTGAAGAGTATCTCATGGCGCCTACCATTAATTTTTTTTACTGTTTTCAGTGTTACACAAAGATACTTGGATACTATGTAGTATCCCCAATATTACGAGTGACAGTATAATGACTCAAGATACAGATATATTAAAAATAGGTTCTTCAAAGCAACTCAGTGAATTTCAGTTAAATAAAAATGAATTTTTAATGAAACTACTACATGTAGACAGTAGGCACTTTTTCAGAGACAAATCTAACGGAGACGGTGCAGAGACTCTTCAAGACAAGTTAGATTTTTTTTTTTTTAAACCATCTTTTTAAGATATTTTTTATGCCAGGACAGCATTTACCATCACCTCTGGAAACCGAGTCTCTGAACTGAAACAGACCATCCGAATATGACTTAGTTTCAACAATCTACACAGAAATAGGTCAGGAGTCTTGTTATTTTCTCATCCTTCCTTATGCCTGTTTGACTGTGACAGAAATTCAAGGGCCAGTTTTCCTTCCAAGAAGATTAAGCCAAGGACACTAATCATTTGGCCTGTTCTTTGATGTCAAAAACTAACAGTAAGGACCATCACAAATAATTAAATAACGGAGCCCCTACGGTTTCTCGCTAGCCCAAACAGAGCTACAGCCTGACTAGGCAGCAGCCCAAAGACGTTACAATATCTCAAGAATGGTCTTGTTCAAATACCTTTTCATTCATCTTACTACGTTCCAAGCAAGATGAGCAAAGATTACTGTCCCACAAAGAATAACAACTAACGAGACAGGTGCTAGGAAATACTTCCTGCAGGTGGCATTTACGAAAAAACATACACCCATTAGAAGAAAGAGCAAGCAAATACTGCTGCTCACCAGAATGACAGAGGATAAATGACACACAGACCTCCAAAATCTCTGCTTGAAAACAGCACGGATGTATTACATGTAATCATATCTCTTTTAACCCATGCTATTTACGTTACACATCCCAGGAGGGCTACCAACACAAAACTCATTTTTACAAGGCTTAAGACAATTAGGTCATAGAAGATCTCCCTACCTCAATACAGAAACGTGAAGATAATGGGGCAAGATCCAGCGCCAATGAGCGGAGAAAGGACGATGGTTCTTACTCGGACGGGAAAAAGGTGGCGCAGAGTCTCCAGATTAATGCCTGCAAATGAAAAAATATGAACCATGTCAGGAATCCTGAAGAATGTGGAATAACACACCAAAAGAACCAGAAGTTTATTCATAGCACAGAATAAATAATTTTTTTAAAATCTGTGTTCAGTACCAATTCAGTCGCCATTCCCAATTGTTTAGCTCACGTTCTCATTCCAGACAACTGAAAGTTGATATATAACAAGTTTATACGATAGGCGCATTTTGTGTTCTACAAAACACACAGCTGCACTTGCCAAGGTTGCTTAATATATAAAAAATGACGAGTTACATTTAGGTGGCCTGCCAGTGGAAAACACACAAGTTTATATGTACTCCGTGCCCCCCTCTGACTTGTCTGTGGGCAAAGAGAAAAGTTTTATGGTCTTCTCTGTCTTTTCTAACCACTAGAGCCAAGTACTGTTTCTTATGTAACAAACTACCTAAGGATGGAAAACAAATGAAAAGAAGAGTTAGGAGAACAGCTGGGTTCAGGACCAGCCCTCAGCTTCCCACCGAAGAGCACACTTCCAGCGCACGGCTGCAGCATTCAGATGGGTCACTGAACAAAAGGCACGATGCGCTAACGCAACCAGTGTCAAAGATCCCAGAGACACGGGACCTCTCCCATTCCGACGGCGGCTCTTGTTACCATCACAACTCTGCCATGAATTTATGAATAAGAATTTCAAAAACCTAGTAAAAAACGTTCTCCTTTCCTCAATTTTCTTCTCCTTTGTCTACCCTCTTCCATACTGGACTGCATTTTACCATTTTCTTTCCTGGTAAGAGTCCTGTTTAACCACATGAATTTAACCCTAATTTAAGCAGCATCTGCACGACCGGGAGAAAAAGCATACGGGTCTCTAGTACGGCCTTGAGAGAGAAATCACGACACACCGAGGGTCACACCGCTACGGGATCCCTCTTCGCAGAGAGCAGAGCCCGCAGCCTGCCAGGCTGCAGGAGAAGGTCATGGGCAGAGCTGCCATGTTAGTTGTGCTTCTCCTGCCGCCTGGCCTAGGGAGCTTGAGCCCGGACGGCGGTGCTGCGACGGCACGTGGACGTGCACGAGACACTGCAGGTGAGAGGTTACAATTCTTGCAGGTGGCATAAAGCCTGTGCAATGGCACTGATTCAAGGGTTGAGCTAAATATACAGAACAGAAAAAAAGGAAGCTATTTGAAATAGAAAGATATCTACAGAAAAATGGAAGTTGTTTCCAAACAATGAAATTGAAACAGACGTCAAGTCTAGCAAGTGAAATGTAAAACCACAATAAGGCAAGCCAAAACAGATTCCAAAGAACAATTGTTTGAGTTATGAAAGCTAATAAAAACTTTCCAAACACAAAAGCAGGAAGCCTGTCAGTCAGCCAGCATAGCTGATAGATGATCAAGGCGTAAAGGGAGGAATTAAGGAAGATAAGGACACAGCAGCAAAATTAAATTAATTCTTTGCACTGATGTTCACTATGGAGGAGGTCAGCAAGGTTCATATACCAGAGCAACAAATCACCAGAAGCAGACACTATTCCCTCAAGAGTTTTAAAGGAGCTCAAATACGAAATTGCTGAACTTCCTTTCTTAGTATCAGAGGATTGGAAAGTGACAAATCTCTAAAAAGGGCTTTAGTAGCGATCCTGGGAATTACAGACCAGAAGTCAGATTTCCATAACAAGCAAAATGGTAGAAAACTGTAAAGAAATATCTGAATTAGCAGGCATGAATATGGTATGCTGTGGGAGAGTCACTAAGCCATGGGATGAATTCATACCTATAAATCTAAGTTCTCTGACAGAGAGAACTACCCTGAATACAGGCAATTCGGTCTCACAGGGGAATCAGATTTTCTAAAAGCCTTGCAAAACATCCCTCACTAAAGGTTCTTAAGGAAACTAAATGGTCACAGGCTAAGAAGGATTAATCTTCTTGTGAATTCGAGATAGAAAGATAGGGAAGAAAGGGTACAAACCAAACATTAGCAATGGCGGGGAGCACACGGTTGGTTCAGCATGCTCATGAATAATGGAGGAGGAGGAGGAGAGAGTCAAGCGACACCCAGAGCATTATACATATACATATATATGTGCATGCTTATATTCATTAAGCAGGATTGTCCGAATGTAATCTATGCTCAGATTGTCTCTAAACAACTGATTGCTTAAATTTGGAAGATTATACCAGGAAAAGATCACTTGGCATTTATTCTGTTTCTTACACTTTTTCCCAAGCTTGTGCTAACACTTGCTATTAAAACAGGCGATGGGGCTAAACGGACTCTGAGGCAGCATGGCAGGTCTTGCGTTCTGGCTCATGTTGATGCACGACACCACAGAGTAGTACTACTATTAAGAATAATAATTCTTCGTATCCTTAAACAACCCATGTAAGAAAACCACGTCTTTTTCTTTCTGATCTCTTACCTTGAACTCTGAGTATTTCTATTTGTACCCTGCCCAAATGGAACCTCCTTAAACAGCAATGTTTCATGCCCGCTTTTTACAGTACTTGTCCATAGTTTTCATAGAATTTTCCTGCAATTCAACTGTCCTTTTCGGTTTTCCCAATCCCACCACAGCCCCCTAAAAGAATAAACCCGTTGCAAAGAGAGAAGTTATCAAAGCCCAAATATTTCTGCAATCTCCAGTCATTATGGATGGTGTAAAAAGTTCCCTTTTCCAGTACACCAGAAGGCAGCTTTTTACATAATTTAGTTAATAGGCTATCTTTGGGGAAAACCTGATACTGATGTCATTTGGTCTAGTGAGAGAGGAAAGAGCAAGTCCCAAGTCTGTGGGATTTTTGCACACAGAGCGGCATCCCCCATCCTTGGTGGATCCTCCGAGGAAGAGCAGAGAAACAGAAAACTAAAACTTCTCGTTTTGGCCCTACTACGGGATTAATTACTCAGACTTTAGCAGAGAGTTTGAGGATAAAGTCCCTCAGTCTCTGGAACGATACTGGAGATGAGACAACAAGTCTTTTGCTGCTAACAGATCAGTTATAGAAGAATATGTTACTCCACTCTCTGGCAGATTAGATGAAAGGAGAAACAAATCTTTCCTTCAGGGTTCTGCCACGGATGGGAGAAATTCCCCTTCGTTTTGGCAGAACGGGGAGTAAACGCCTCCCACCTCTGGAAATCGACTGGGACGGTAAATCATCCTCCTCTCCAGACCGTACAGCGGAGGAAATCCCGCTCCGTAGTTCTGGGGCGGGCCCGGGGGGAAAGGACCGTTGACGCCACTCTCCCCTTCCCCTGGAGGGACGCCCGTGAACGCTGCTTTGCTCAGAGGCGGATGAAACTCGGGAGCGCGCCGGCCCCCGCTCCCCCCCCCGCACGCCAGCCGTTTGGGGGGAGCTCGCTTGCCTCCAGCAGCCCTCGGGGAGACGCGGCGGGGAAAGGAGGAGAGAAAGCCCTGACCCCCCGGCACGAAAGTTATCTTTTCCCAGCAAGGGGGCTCCAGCAGAAGGGAGGCTTTTCCCCAAGCCCGGACCTGCCCGTTCCTCTCCCGGCACCCAGGGTTAGGGCACGAATCCGTTGGAACAGGTCCCTTTTGCCCGGCTGCGACCGAAACGCAGCCTTCTTCGTCAGGAGCTGCCCCGCTTTCCCAGCGGCGGGTTTCTGCCTGGCAGATAAAGAGCACCTGACGCGCGCGAGCTGGGCTGCGAGTGCCGCAGCACGGAAACGACCTTCCGCCGCCGGCTTTGTGCGCGGGGCTGCCTGGCCGCTCGCGCCGGGGGGCACGGCTCTGAAAGGGGGCTCGCGCCTTTGTTTTGTCTTGCCGCGGGCCCACACGCTGGGGCTGCTTGTTTCCATCTGATCGCAATTAGCACCGTGCTAAACTCCTCGTGCCCTGCACTAATTCAGGAGGATGGGCATGTCACACCCTGCCAAGAATTACAGCCAACCGCAGCACACTCTGGGGCATGCCTACCCTTTCATTAAGCTTTTGTTTCAAAAGAGAGGGCTCGAGGACGCTCCTTTTTGTCAAGAAATCTCCGGGGAGGCACTGAAGGGTGCAGAGGCCACGCAGTTTGGCCTAGAGGAGGCCTGTGCACGTGAAAACACAGCGAGTCAGTGGATTGTTACGGCACCGCCTGAGCTGCCGCGGCCCCCTGACAAATTAGGAGCTAACCTCGTTCCGAGACGCTGAAAATCCCGAGACGCGTCCGCGCTGCAAACCTGGCATACAGAGCTCGGCAAGTGCTATAAAAACAAAAACAACAACAGAAGGAGGCATACAACCCCTTCATCTCCCCCCCCATCTCAAACTTATCTAACAGCAGAATTGAGAGCTAAGAAAAATACGCAACTGAATGCTACACGCACTGTCCTACCCACCTTCATGCCTCTGAAAACATGTTTAAAACAGATATTCTCAGGGCAGGAATACAGCCAGATTGCACTCGTCTGCCTACACATATAACATCATTTTAAAGACACGGGATGAAATTGGTAAGAAAACAGCGTCAATAATATTAAGTAGTTCACGGACTCTGCTCCCCGCAGCCACTGCTGTGAAGTCGGCAACTCACCGACGGAGACATCTTTCCTCTACGCGCAAGAGTGGCCGCCGGAGGGAGGGAGAGCGAGTCCTCTAGCCACCTGCTCACCACCCGGGAGGACAGCCTTGAACATCCCCGCAACAGACACCACCGCTCTGGATCAGGAACGCATATTCCTGGCCTTTTTGTTGTCTTTAATCACCACTTGACCATTGCTCCTCACACGAGCTTTTGGCGCGTGAAGCCAGTGATGTTACCAGCATTCTTGGGTGGCGACGACAGCCAACATCTGAGACAGATTCGGCAGCGGCTTCTGAAGGACACCCAGCTCTCCGAAGACTGGGGAGTTGTCATTTACAGAGATTCTCAGTGGCCTGTTTTCAATATTCACCGTAACCTGTATGTACAGGCTATTGTAAAACCTCAGTAATTGAGAACATCCTCCACATAATCAGTGTGAATTACTGAATTTGTCAGACTAGCACCACGTGAGTAAACAACCCAAAAAAGGCAGACTAATGCTTCACAAAATGCAATTTAATTTATTTTCTTAATTGTAGGTTGATCCTTACTTATTTATGCTAACTCATAACAAAGTATGATCTGTATTACCATATACTCAGTAGAACAAGAATAATACGTTCATAGTCCTAGAGGTTTTTTATACTCCACTGCTTACATAGGTAGTCATGCACTTGGCTGGACCCTTGTCCCCAATGTAACAGACACACAAACATAGAAATGCCATTGATTTAAGTGTACAGCCTTGCTTCAATCAGCAAATGAAGACATTTTATTGAGCTCTGAGATTAATTTTTGAGGAATTGCAGAAGGTACATAAATCGTCAGTGCAATCTATCAGGCATACCAGTAAGCGATGTGCTACTATGCTTACTGAAACCTTTTCACAAAACGCCATGTCCTGTTCCAAAGAGGATTCATACAGACTGCATCATTCTTTGCTTTGTGACAACATGGTGACATCAAAAACATGGGAACAGGACGCACCAGCAAACAGCTACTGACTGCAGAAGGGAGAGACATTGTCAAAATCTCACAGAGGAAAGCTCCACTACAGTATTTCAACAGGGCATCTAATTATTAAGTCTTAAACCCTAGTTTTTATCCCATTAGTTCGTATAATAAATGGGGTTTGACCTAGAGAGAGCAGGTTGGGTTTGTAGGTTTACTTCAGGAACAGGACATTTGATCTGTAATTGTTTTTCAATGACTGTATCTTTTTCTGTGTTATTGCTTTACATGACTAGGTTTTGTACAATACTGAAAATCAATAAAAATGTAGAAAAAATATTTTTCCCCTTAAAAGTTAAATGATCTTGTTAGGATTCTGGCACTACCATTTTGAATCAGATAGCCTATGTTTTTCCTCCTGTGCTCCAGGACAGCCGTGGATTATCTGTACCAGCCCCAACTACAAGAAACAGAGCTGTAGTTGCTTGAAAAAGGTGATCAGAACGTACTACAGGAAGAGCCCGTGCCCTCAGGTCAACAAAGCACTTAACCGTATGCTTAAAGCCACTACTATTTTGATCTAGTCCAAGGTAATTTTACCCCTTGACCACAGAAGCTTTAGTCTACAGTGACAGAGACCAAGGACCAAAAGCCATTTTCCAAAGTTACAGAGGAAACCCATGGCAGGAGGAGTTAGTGCTCTTTGCTGGTACAAATGCATTTGGCGTTGACCTCTGACTTCTCTGCATAGCTTTTCTGCACTAAAGTAAGTATGCTTACAAACAATCGCCACCAAAATTGTTAAAGATGACAATGCTTCTTTTTTAGCTTCCTTAGTTATACAACAAAACCAAGCAGAATGAAAGTTTAAAAAAAAAAAAAACACCACCCTAAAAACCTACTTACTTTCAACTCCAGATTAGGACTGGGATATAGATGCTACAAGAGGTAATGAGCATGAGGAGATGAGAATAGGGTAGCTACTTAAAGAGATTAAGGGATTCACTGCAGTGTAATTGAAAGGACTAGTAGCCTCATTGTGACCATTAATATCTACAGGAAAAGGAGCCCAATCTGTTGTAGCATTAACCAGCAAAATCAACCAGAGATAATAGTGTCCAGAGTATGATACAATTTGACAAAAGGCAGGAAATTCATAGCTTCATGCAATACCCCAAGTACCTGGGTCATCCTGACCATTGACTCTTCCATCTTTCTGATTTTGTTTCACAGCATAGGGTTATCAGATTTTTAGAGAGAGATGTAGAATGACTGTTGCTTATTTTTGGTTTGATGACTGACCTTAAGAACTGGAGCCTGGAAGAACTGTTTCACATTAAATGAGAAAAAAAAAACCTTTTCTGTCCCCCCAAAAAACTAAAAATATATTTTGTTCAATAAGAATATTTTGCTTGACCCAAACAAAACATTTTGATTTTCAAAAATAAAGAAAATGTGCAGTTTCCACACAAAATATTCTCAAATAAAACAAAACAGAGAAAGGATTTGCATTTGTCTAAAAAAACTTCATTTTTGTTCAATTATTTGTGAAGTTAATATAGTTTTACAAACTATTTAAAATTGTTTTTTGTAAAAACATTATTTCTGTGTACTTCCTATACCACTGTATGAGACCTTGTACCCATGTTTGCTTAGCTAGAGGTGATCTACTTTGCATGCGTATTTTGTGGACATCTTTCCCTTCATGCTATGAGCAAATTTAAGTTATGGTGATTAAAAAAAAAATACACATAAAATTTTACCATACAAATTTGAAAAAAAAAAAAAAAGGAAACCTTAACGTACACACACCTAACACATACAGATTTGTACAATATGCTGTGCCAGCACAACGTTATTTCAAATGCATCCTGCTCGGTCTGCTGCCCTGCCCGACATCTCAGTGGCCACACACGTCTAACACATGGGACTCGGTTTCTTCATACCATTTCCTTGAAAGAGCCTTCTACGGGTAAGTATTAAATCCCAATGGGTTGGTAACATTGCACGCATTTTGCCAAATCCTCATCGGGTATAAACATGCACACATCTTTTAAAGTTAGCCTAATTTTGTCACTTTAGCCTGCTGATAGATCTGGCTCCACAGTTTGGAATTCTTCAAGAATTAAAGTCCTCTATAAACATATCATCTAACTTTATTATTGTATCATAATGATTTTTAAATAACTTTGCAATATGCTCTATAACCTTTGTTTAAAGTGCTTATTACTGTACTGTCACAGTTTCATTCACTCTTCAACAGTCTAGTCAAAGCAACAGATACAAAGGTAAACACAACTGAAAAGGTACAGAGTGTTAAGTGGCCCCTTTCCCAGGTTTATAACTTGTTTTTCCAAACTGCCAGCTGCTCTGTAGACAAGCTGTACTAATTGTGGGACAATCTGTGTATTCTTAAACTCAAATATTTTTCAGTTAAAGCAATGCATAAATTATTTATTCATTTGTATTTGCATTTAAATAGTTGAAAAATGTCCAAATTAACTGCTTTGAAAATTGTTCCAAAATTTCCCCCTAGACTATGACCTTGTGGCCAAGTTTAATCTCAAAGCAAATTGAAAGAAGGGTTTATAACTAAAACGTCAAATGGCTCTGAATGTGCTTTGCTTCAGAGAATTGACTTACTCTTTTGCAAACCCAGCTAAGCATTTGGTTTGAGGCCTAAAGCTTGGTTTTCAAACTTTTTTTTTTTTTTTTTTTGTAAATCAAGTAACCCGAATCTAGTGCTGACAACT